GAGAGAGAGAGAGAGAGAGAGAGAGAGCGAGCGAGCGAGAGAGAGAGAGAGAAAGAGAATGGGTATAGAAGAATATACGCGTGTTTTTTGTGTTTGTGTGTGTCTTTTAATGTGAGTATGTGTGTGCATTTGTGAGTGTATGTGTGTATGTGTTTGTGTGGATGGGAGGGGCCAAGGATGGGTAGATAACGAGGGCGCCAGTGAGTTTTATGTGTGTGTATGTGTGTGTGTATGTGTGTGTGTGTATGTGTGTTTGTTTGTCTGTGTGTTGTATTTGTCTATTAGCTTCTCAGCTCTAGTTCATAAGTAATTCGTCACAGTAAGCGCCAAATACGTCATTATACCTTTAATATTGAAATCAAGCGACCATCAAACATAAATTAGGCAATATTCGCTTAAAATGTAATGAGTATCTTGAGAGGTTTATATCGAATGCCATAAACGTCCGTCGGTTATGGGAAAGGATTATTTAGTCCCTCCAGTACTTACTCTAAAGCTTGCTCTGTATAGTGTAAACACTTACTTTTATTTACTTTTATCCATTTACTTTTATCCGCCGCTTATACCGCTTTGTGCTACTCCAAAGCTCTATACTGTGTAAACACAAAACGAACAACAGAAGTGGAAAAGATTCTTTCAAGAGTGTTCTAACACGTCAGTCATCTCTCCCCGTATCTCTGCCCTTACATCAAAGTGCACACGGACTCGATGACCCATCCGAATGTACATCTTGAGCATGTCAAGCGAGCCCTCCAATCGGTTGCCGTTCTCGTCGTGGACGTAGACGATGGTCCAACAGAGGTCGGCGTACCACTGGAGCGCCACGAAGTCGTTTGTGTGCTTCAAGCCTTGGAGATCTCCCGTCGTGAAGCGAGAACTGTCTCGACGACCTGTTTCAAAGACGATTGGGTATTGGTTTCTTTTTTATTTTGATTGGGTATTTTTTTATTGCGGCAATAAAGTAGATATTATAGACTTTTGAAGTCTCATTGGGAAAAACATTGAGACTTTTTTAAAGGCATAACACTTGGGCCCACATTCTGACCTCCGATGGATTAGAACCGTTTTACATGTAAGACTACAGCAGTCATATATGTTATTTAATGCCTCGCCCCCTCCCGAACACACAGACTCATTGAATAACATACACCATACATACAATAAGATATTCACACTTAAAAAAGCACACTAAAGAAAAGGTGCCAAAGATAACTGTTACGAAGTGCCCCAAAAATTCTTGAGGTAAAGTCAACACCTGACAGCGATATTATCATGTCCTGCGCTCTGAATGATCAGGAAAATATGTTCCAGTGAACGTTATCAAAAGTCACAATCAGATATGAGAACATTCGTGCAAGTCAATAAAATATGCTAAGGTGTATATTATAACAACACCCTAGCAAACAAACCTTTTATCATATTGTTGTATTTCGGAGAATAACTCGAAAGACATTCCCTTTTAATTGACACAAACGCGCACGCACGCACACACACACACACACACACACACACACACACACACACACACACACACACACACACACACATAACCACTCACACAAACGGATGAAACGCTTGCTCACAAGTACATAAACGTACTAAGGAACACAAATATAAAAACTTTCAGAGGAAAAAAATATAAACAAACAAAACAAAAACCCGTTCCACGCTAACCTGAGGTGTCCCAGGAAGACAGCCAGTGGTAAGGTTTACTCCGGAATGTGATATTTCCCGTGGGTGTGTAGCTCTGACTGATGTGGGACAGGCTCTGACCGTTGAGGTGACCAGTGGTAAAGTCGTAGTGAGTGTTGTCCATAGTGAACGAGTAGCCTCGGTCTCGCATTACTCCTCGCATCTCAGCCTGGGACAGATGAATAGTATTAAAATATCATTTATTAGAAACGCTGGGAAGAAAAACGTTTCCATTTCATTGTTGGAAAAATTGTCAGGATTTTAAGAATGTTTGAAAACTTCTATATATACACTCAAACACAAACACACACACACACACACACACACACACACACACACACACACACACACACACACATACACACACACACATAATATATATATATATATATATATATATATATGTGTGTATATATATATATAAACCACATAGAGAAGAACCCCAGTAAAAGATATGGTGGAATAAATCCCCCTTCCCCCCTACACCCCCCCCCCTTTTTTCCCCCCATTCAAATGGTGCTCTGAGTTCTTCCGGAAATAGAAGTCGATGTGGTAGCTGATGAGGACATTGTGTTTCAAACGTCATACAAAATATGAGTGAGCCACAATATTATATAAAATTATCCTTGCTTTTAATTTTGTTTAACAAGATACTCCAATATCTGAAAGCGTAACCTGAGTTCTACAAGATGATTCACCTCTCTGTCTGAGATACCACTAAAACGCCTTCAAAATGCTGGTTTCAAAATCTGTCATTTTGTCATGTTGAACGTTTGAAATGTGATGTATTTTGAATTATAAGATTATGAGCAAAATTTGTACAATGAGAGCAGCATTGAGAAAGGAAAAATGTGTAGTTACATGGCCGGTAGCGACATGTTAATTCTTGGATTATCGAGATCACATTTTAGAAATAGTGTGGTTGTCTTCCAGCCTACTTTTGTAGCCAAAGGTAATTTCTTAAACGACTCCACCGCCCCCACCCCACCCCCACCCCCCTAGTTATGTTTTGCCCCAAATGCCATAGAGAAGAGTGATCCATCTTGTAGAACAATCATATGTGTGACGGCGCGGTGGAATCAAGTGCTCGTCAGGTTTCTGGGCTTCTAGAGTTGTTGGTACAACTTTAATTAAAGCCTATTTGTTTTCCTTGCTTTTGATTATAAATACCCATCTTTCTTTTACAGAAGTCGAGATAGTTGGGATTGAAGGATGTCGGGTTCGCTTGGTGCCCGTCGAGAAAATGGCCGCCAAAGCTTGAGTATTCTAGGAACTACAATTTTATATATCTGAATGCCTCTGATCAAAGTTTTTAGTACAATTCACACAAAAATTGAGTCTTCGGAAAGACATAAAAAAGTGTTGAGGTCGAAAAAACAAAATCGATAAAAATTGCCCAACTGGCGGAACAATTTTGACAAGCGCCTGATTTCACCACGATGTCACGACATCTCTTTCCGATCCATCATGTTTGCAATCTAGCATTCCCCCACTCCCCCCCACCCCCCTTTCCCCTCGGGGCTGAGCAGACCTTCAACAATAGCCCAAAACTAACTTTACACCTTTAACCCAGGCAAAAAAGTCTTTACTCAATATTTGTTAAAACAAAGTGAGAAAGTGCGATTGCAGGGAAAGCTGTTCTTTGGATGTTGCTCTTGGTCTTGCATTTAATATAAATATTCGCGTTACTTCTTTATAAACATTGAACTTTTGGGGGAAGACCTAAAGAGGGTTTTCTTAACATACCCCACCCTCCCAGGACACCAAATAATAACCGTAACCATAGCCATTTTATTGTTTTCTGACAGTTGTTCTTTGTTGTGCGTATTTATTAAGGTCAAAGCATCTTATTGTTAGTTCATCAAAAATGCCTAACCTTATCAGTAACTCTAGCTTTGGAGTGAGTAACTACAAAGAGGTGCCAGTGGAAAGACATATTTGTTCCGTGTGTGTGTGTGTGTGTGTGTGTGTAGGTGTATGTGTGTGAGTGCTGTGTCTTTGTGCATGTGTGTGTTTGTGTGAGTGTGTGTTTGTGTGAAGGTGTGTGCATGTATGTGTGTATGTGTGTGTGTGTGTGTGTGTGTGTGTGTGTGTGTGTGTGTGTGTGCGCGCGCGTGCGTGTGATTACTTTTGTTTAAGGTTTATTTACAACCTTATTGAAGAGATAACATAATTATATCGGGTAATACAAAGAATGATATACTGAAATAGATTTCTTTTAATAAGAGCATTAATATTTCACACCCATACACTACAATTACTGCTTGGGAGACCGTTAGGTTGACAGACTAACCTTGAAGGCAGTTTTAAAGAGCATATTGGCGTTCTCGTACGTGCTTGATCCATCCAGATATAGGGATACCAATGGCTGGTTGCTTGGGTGGATGTCCTGTAGATATTCATTTGGATGGTTAAACCCGCGAAAGGGGTGCGGGGACAGGGGGTGAGGGCGGGGGGGGGGGAGTGTTGTATATTAGATGACCTTGGGGATCTAAAAGAAAACGATGATGTTCTAGTTAAGAAACCAAACGAATGTCTGGCTGAACTAAATTGCATTATACCATTGTTATAACTCTTTAGATAAACAAAGACGAAGAGAGTGAAAAACAACAACAACAAACCAACAAACAATATACAAGTTATTTTCTTTGGGAACGAACTTCTGACACTTCTATCGGTAATTAAAATTTTGTATAATTATATTTCCACTACGTAGTGATATCAAGAGAAGCAGAGTGGAACTAAGCGGGACCGCCAGATTTTCTTCGGTTTAGAGAGGTTACTTATATATAGCATCCCCTTGACCTAAGCTCTCCGGCTGACGACAGATAGACGTCTCTTTCTTCCCGCGACACCCAAAAGGGTATAAGCGGCGAATAAAAGTAAAAGAGTAAAGTAAAGTACTTATATATAGAAAGAAAAGAAAGAAGATTTTATTTTCTTTTGGTTTACAGTTGGTTTTGGATTAACCGTGTTCGGTTTAAATGGACACTGCTAGCCTATGCTGCATTATGCGAAAGCAACCCACTCTGATCTTGAAGCTGATGAGATCCACTGGCCAGGTTGTTGCCAGGGTATTCCCATCCCAACGACTGGCGGACACATTCAGGTAGCTCACGTAGCCGTTTGTGCACACGATGATTGGCTGGAACTCTGCACCAGACCCGATGGGGGATGACATGCGTTCCATCGACTGGAAGAAGAAGAAGGTTACAGGTGAGATTATGTTAGAATATTATTTCAAAAGGAGGGGGGAGGGAGGGGGCGGCGGTGAGGGGAATCCACTCAGAACAGACCAGCGTCTGTCGTTCAGAGTTCGATTTCCGAGTGGAAAAAATGTATTGAGTATCTTATTTGTCCTCTGATGTTGTATCCCTTTTAGTCCGGGGTGGTCCTGACAGAGTGGGTGGGAAGCCTGCCTCCTAAATCATCCAAATTGTGTCGATTTTTATTATTTTTTAAATTAATGTATTTATTTATCTATTTATTTATCTATCTATCTATCTATCTATCTATTTATTTATCTATGTATTTATTTATCTATTTATTTATCTATTTATTTTTTATTATTACTTTTCTTTGAGGGGGGAGGGAGGAGAGTAAACCACGACATAAAAATACAGAAGTGCTAATGCGAGATTAACATCTCAATTCTCTTTACCAGCGTTGGAGAGAGAGCATTTATTAGCCCTTCACCTTTCATTTTTTTTTTAAACTGGTTTGATTACCTCTCGGGGGAGATTTTCGCTTGAAATCAGATAGACCAGACTAAAAGGATGTAATAATCACACCTCCAGTATTATCCAAATAGTGTTGATGAGGGCGTAAAAGCTTTCGTTACTAAAGATCACACCCCTCTTTCAAAGACCCAACATAGCTGCTGCTGCTGTTATTTAGTGTCCACCTCGTATCGGTTTTTTTAAAAGTTCTACGCTCGCGTCTCCCCCCTTTCCGTCTCATATCCCCCTTCTCTTTTCTCATTTAGTCACACTACCCCTCTCTTCCTCGCTTCTCACCCCCTCTTCTTCTCACTTCTCCTCCGACTGCTTTTTCACTCCTCATCCTCTCCATCGTCGCCATAGGAATTATTATCATTATTATCCTCATTTGCCACTATGTTTAGTAGTAGTAGTAGTAGTAGTAGTAGTAGTAGTAGTAGTAGTAGTAGTAGTAGTGGTAGTAGTAGTAGTAGTAATAGTAGTAGTAGTAGAATTGCTGTTGTCGTTTTTGCTATTGCTATAGTTATAGTAATTATTCTTATTGTTATTACCTCTCCGCAGATGACCTGACCGTTCATATTGAGGTTGTCCAGCATGAAGGACTCCGTAGAAGGCCGCTTGGTTATGGTCACCTTCACAGGTTTTCCCTGTAAGATGTTAGTGCGCAGAGCGTCTGTGGGCACGCTGGTGGAGGAGCTGGAGTCATATTGATGTCGCTCAGTCCACGACCTCTGGCACACGGCTGGAGACAAAATTAAACTTTAACTGTTATGAGCAATGGCTGAAAAAATCCATCCGAGATGATGGTTCAAAGCAGCAGTTTATGACTTCGCCATGCGCCATATTGAATAGTGACGTATGATGGAGTCACTCAGGAGTCAGTAAAAAGTGTGCACATCTGGGTATGATTTGAAAATAAATAAATAAATAAATGAATAAATAAATAAATAAATAAATAAATAACACCTAATGTCTGACAAAATCCTGCTTTGTCGTAAATGAAATTAAAAAACAAACAAACCCGTAACCTCTGTTCAAATCCTCCAAACCCAGTACTGTTTTGTGTGATGGTTTGCAGACAATAATCGATGCCAGACTAAAACTGGAAGATGTTGTTATGTTAAACTAGACCGTATCTTTCACAAAGAATTTGTTGGTTTCATACAGATTTGCATACACAAGACGCATTTCTCCTTGTGAGATGAATAAATAATTGCCATTGTCATTGTCATTTTTCATCAAAACCAGCAGCATGCACAAAACACGGATTGTTGTGTTGCCGCCAAAAAGCATTTCCATACACGAGCCTTTTCCAGTATTTAAGTTAAATATTTATTCATGATTCGTACAAATCAAATATATTAAAAGCAGTTCACAGAGCTTAAATTCAAAACATAGTGGGTTTTTTTTTCAGTTTTAGTTGAGGTTTTACGGCGCTCGCAACTGCATAAAGTCATCTGAGCGCCAGAAGATTAGAGGTGTTACAAGAGAGTGACAAACATAAAAAAGAAGAAGGGGAGATAAGGACGATAGATGTTTGATAAGAAAGAAGGAGCAAACCACAGAGCACCCGCCATCCACCCACGTTAAGACATTTTGAAGTTAAATTTGCTTGCGAAGAGGCTGGGACTGTTGTTATTTATAGTAGACCCATTACTGAGTATGCACTCGCGAAAAGAACATATTGCTCTCCATTTCAGCTCGGATTTATTTTACTATGCTTGTTATAATCGAACATCCTATCAGTTTCAAGGATTCATAACACTACAGTATAGGAGACCATCCTTATATAACTTGAATACAGGTAGGTGTTACTGTCTCTAAGCGACGGTGTGTAAAAGTAAAACAACATTCGTGTGTATTATTTTGTCCAAACACAAAAATGTGGAACTTCTGGGGGGGGGGGGGGGTAAGAAAGATTAATAATATTGCATTTTGGCTGTAAGCGAGACCTGCTTGAAAACCAAAGGCAGCTAGTGCTTATCACAGTGACTGAAAAGACGTGAAAGAATTACTGCGCTTTTCCCACAGTCCAATTTACTGCTATACTGAATTCAGTTCAAGTGTTTTAATCAAAACCTAGTTGAAAAGGAAATGGCAAACTTGATTCCTTTAGATTCAAACGTCGAGATTCTACGAGTTGGCTAAGCGTTTTAACCAACTATGTTTTGGGGCCTCCGAAAAGCTTAAGGAATTGTACTGAGGTGCTGAACGTTTTCTTGAAGGTGGTACATCTACATTAATGTAGAACCTAAATTTGGCTTTGTTCCTAACAAATATATCCGGAATGCTTTATTCCCCTTATACATGCTGCAGGAAAGATACAATAAAGCACAACAGATCTACATTTGCTTTTTATTTATAACCCAATGGATCTTACCAAAAAATAAAACTATTTCACGTTCTGAGAGCAGAGCTAGACATAGATGAACAAGATTAATAATTAGGAATAATAATTTACCAGCAACAAACCGCTGATATAAGAATTGAGGGAGAGTACTGCAAAATAACAACAATAACATATTAAAAAAGCAGTTAGGAAAGGATGGCACGAGACCTTTTTCAATATACAATGAAGCAATTAATTCTTAGAAATATAGAAGAAAGCCCAGGTCTCAAAACGAATAGAAGAAATATTGATAGCGTCAGTTTTAAATGCAGATTTAGTAAACGGACCTCAAAATGCATTTAGTCAATATTGTTGTGGCAGAAAGTAAAGAAATAAAAATACATGATGATACACATTTCAAAAACCAGTAAATTCTAAATGTTTTACGCCCCAAACGACACAACTTAGAGCATTAAGAGGACAGGCTTCTGACCCTTGCTATTCAGGGGCAACACAGAATCTTTCGCCTGCGAACACAACACATCCTACTGAATTCCTACCTAAATAGGATCCACAAGGATACCCCACCTGACTGCCTGCTGTGTGACTGCCAAGATGAAACATTATCACACCATCTCATTACCTGCCCTGCATTTAGCGATCTGCGTAGTACCTACCTACCTACCTCCCCAGAGATATCGGAAATACTCCATACAGCGACAAAAAAGAACAGCTGATAAAAACATTTAAATTCTTTGCAATATCGACAGGCCGAAGAGCTAGATTCTAGAACTTAGATGGCCGATGGATCGGAAAAGTAAACTCTTTCTTATTTTTTTGTGTTGATGTACCTGTCTACACTTAAACTAAGAAACAAGTAAACTTAAATTGTTGTAACATAAAAGGCTATTTTATTGATTAATCCTTATGTTGACACACTACCTGCATTTTAATATTGGATTGTTTGGACAAAAACACAGAAAGTGGTTTGAATATACCTGTCTGGGAGTCTTCCGCTCCTGTGGGAGAATGCACCGATAGAATCACTGCTACCAACGTTATCCAGGCGTGCATAATTTCCTCTCGTTTTCGTTTTGTACTTTAGACAAAACTGTAGAAGGAATGAAAAGGTGGCTTAAGATGCTGATGTACTCCGTAGAAATGTTTGTATTTGTGGTTATTTCTAGTTTTTCCTTGAAGTTTATGTTGTTTCTTTTTGTCTCGGATCTTGCCAAATTTAGCGTTTGGCTAGAACTCTATGAAATAACCACAAAGCAGTATCACAGTTTCAGTATCCCGAAAAAAAATAGCCTGTCAATTAACACATGGAAATAGTTCTTGAGGAACTTAAGAATAATAATATAAAGAAGATAAACAGTCCATGCTAGTCATAAGTTCAATGTTACAAAAATGTAACTGACTTTTACCTGGTTGTTAAGTTTTCTTATCACTGCCCAAGACAAAGAACGAAAGCACACTATGTACCAAGTATGCTAATTAGTTGAAGGGTCAGAGGCGTTTGTCAAAACTAGGAGTGACACTTGGGGGTTTGGGGGAGGGTTGGGCCTCGACACATGAAAAATTGCACCTGTATGACGCTGTAGACAAAAGCTGTGTTACCTGTGCTTGAGTTTCTTTTCTCAAGCTCAAGGAAATAAGAAGCGTGTTCAGGTTTAGGCGTCTCAGATCTTTCTTTTGCCGCGCCCAAATTTCTGGTTAAATTTGGACTTTGTTCGTTTCATCGGAAAAAAATCTTTGTTTCTTTGTTCTTCGTATCTTTCTGTCGGCTTTTATTATTGCAATGGTTTTTCCTTTTTTAGTCTTTGTTGTTGTTGTTATTGTTGTTGTTGTTCTTCTTCTTGTTGCTGATTTTGTTCCTGTTCCGTTTGTTTCTATTGCTGTTTTTGCCTTTCTAACTAGTGTCCGGAACACTGCAACGATTGTTTCCTACGCACTATCTCTGTTTTGGTCAGAATTGCTTTTTCTGTCTTTTGACTTTTTTATATGAAAGATTGCTTTACTTTACGTTGAGAACACTCAAAAAGCTCATCCACTGGTGCAGAAACCAAACATTCTAACAGCACTTCTTCGTAGGAGGCAAAGAACTATAGTCCTAAAGAACGGCTTATTTAAGAATAGGAAAGTTCGATGTCTAACAACTTAACTGTATGTGTAGTGTTGGTGACAGCGGCACAGTGCACTTATATAACGCATGCGTCTGACTCCGGTGAGTGACGTACGTAAATACCTGTACGTGTTACCAGACCACTGACGTCATATCCTATTCACAAGAATATCGCCGGCTCGGAGTAAAAACGTTATTTCTGCAGTGTGTCATTGTTGCATGGTTAGGAGCATTTTTGTTTCTTGGCAGCCATAAAGAGATTCACGATGTTCTTTTCCGGAGGTGGAACGCACTTGCACGTATACGGGGCGGGATAGAGACAGAGGGG